AATTGGTTTCCTTCAAATGTTAGTTGATGGTCTTCCAAGCACGCAATATTATGTTGCGGCTGTATTTGATTCTAATCTTTGGCTGATTTTCGGAAATGTTTCATTTGTCATTGAATTCATGGTAAAAATAAAAGTGTTCCGTCCAATTTCTTCAGAAAATTGTGTAGTGTTAAAGTCATCAATTGATTGCTTTGTGTTAAAAAAAAAACTCAACAAATGTTCCAGTGGAAATGCCAGGAGAGCATTCAATTGAAACTCATCTAAAATCTATTCGAATACAAGAAACGCTGAATGAATCCAATGTAGAAAGAAAAAAACTCTTTTCGTGTAAGAAAAAGTCAATTGCAACTCAGAGGTGAGTTTATTACAATATCCAAAAATAGCGCCAGTGCGTATGTTGGCAATACTGCACTGCTGTGACAAGCACAAAATTGCGAGTTAGTTTTTGCACACCTTTTAACTCATCAGCATACTAGCGTAGTGTAGCACACCACCACATCGGTACAGCGGCAAACAAACAAACAAACGCATTTGCATAAGCAATCAACGTGCGCTTGGTTCAACCGCGTGTCGATTACACGAATATTAATTGACTGTGTCGCTGTCTAATTCGTGAATGTCTCCACCTGTCAACTGTTGTTCTAAAAGTAAGCATTCTTTCGTTTTGCATCAAACAATGCTATTTTTTTTCGTATCAGCTTATTTTGCGGATTCGTGATTTTTCTTTTCCACCGTGTTAATCAATCTCAAAAATTGGTTCAATGTTCAACATTAATTTACCGCAAAGAGAGTGTATTCTTTCGATTGAAATTGTTCAAAGTGTGTTTCTCTTTTTGACAGCTCAACGAGAGAATTGTATCTGTGTCTCGAGATGAACGAAGGCCAAATTGACCCGAAACAAAAGCACCAGCATCCACGGATTGAATGTGGTCTGTGTGGTATGCACATTTCGCAGAAACATTTGGGACGACATCGAATTCGTCGCCATCCAAATTGTCCAAGCGTTGACAAGATGACCGATTTGACTGTGAATCGATCGGCTCAACCACCACAGCCGGTGTCAACATCAAGAGGTGTGGCATCAAAGAATGTTACGAAGCCGATGGATGCTGAAATACGACAAGCAATTGAAGTTCAATCGCAAAAGCCATATTCGGACGAGGTTTGCTTTGTCAAAGTGAGAATGAGCGAACAGGAACTGATCAGATTGATGAATCGCGGCCGTATTTATCATGCCGTTGGCAAATTTTTTATGTATGATTCATAAAGCGAAGTAAGGTTAGGTTCAAGTCGACGGTCATCAATATGCAAATGTCAAACGCACTAACACCATTCAATTGTCTACACAAGCGATTCGCGCGTTTTTTTCCCTCCAATAACTCGTCGACCACTGTCAACGCATTATTTTCGTCGTGAATTTGAACCAAACCAATTGTATTATTCTCAAGCGGCATTTGTTTCCCGTCAGAAATCAATGTAAACAATAAATTTATAACAAAAACAAGCGAATTTTTGTGGATTTTCATTGAAAAAAATTGGAATTTGTCTTAAAAATGAGATTTTTCTTTTGATTTTAGCGAAAAAGTTGTGTGTGTGTCAAGTTGTTCTGCTGATTGTGCCGCTAATCAAGACCATTTAGTGGCAGCATGAATGTGACGGCGAACATGACACTAGTGAAAAAACCGCAAAGAGACATCAGACAAAAACTAGCTGCAATCAGCGCCGTAGCCAGGCCGGCGCAATGGGTGCATTGCACCCTCCAAAAATTTCAAAGGTGCAACAAAATCGGGTTTCAAAGGTGCAACAAAAGAAAAGTTTCGATTTTGCACCCTCCAATCTTTTTTTTCTGGCTACGGCGCTGGCTGCAATGTACAAGACGAAAACGAACGACACCACACAGACACTACAACGAGATTGTACGGTAATTGAATTAAACGATACAGATTTAGAGCCAAATGTCAATGCAAGTCAGTCGCTATTCGTGGAAGAGACTGTCATTGAGGAAGACAAAACCAATGTTGAAGAGACAGTGATTGTGGAAGAGACAGTGATTGTGGAAGAGACAGTGGATAATACGGAAGCTTCGCTTTTCATTGACACACAAGTCGATGAAACCGCATTCCAGTCATTGTTGGCAATGACAAAGTCACTGAAACATTGTCAATTTCGGGAATCGAAGCATTGAATGACACAGAAATTGATACGACAGTCAAAG